TGTGATTCTGTTTTTATTCTCAACCTTATAAATACTATCTACTAATTGGTCTTGGTCTGGAATTGGAAATGACTATGTTATCTCAGGGTTCTGGATTTTAACACTGTCTCATAATCACTTCCCACCTAAAAACCTTTTAAGAATACCTTAATTCAGGCATATTTGTCTTCCCCCAAAAGGGATAATATAAAGTTTTAGTTACAGAAGCAAGCTTTAGCTGGGCATTGGTGGCACACACTTTTAATCTCAGAACTCCAGAGGAAGAGGCAGGCGGATCTCTGTGAGTTCAAGACCAGCCTGGTCTACAAAAGCTAGTTCCAGGACAGCCTCCAACACCTCAGAGGAAACCTGTCTTGAAAAACCAAAAAAAAAAAAAAAAAAAAAAAGGTAAACTTTAGCTACCTTCTGCTTTAGCTACCTTTTGCACTATAGGAAATAGCTATTTATAACTTATTTTTTAAAATGTAATTATGTTAGTTTACTCCTCCAAAAACCATTCCTCAATGTATGCTGATAGTAGCCGAAGATGCACTCATATTTTTATGTAAGAAGTAATTTGGGAAAAGTATTTTTTAACCTCATCATAACAAAAGTAATTCGAAAAAATTAAGAAAAAATGAATATGAAGTAAGGGCCACAGTTACTTTAGTAGTACTTCACAGTCAAATAATAAAATCCTTTATTGTTAATATATTAGTGTTTGATTGCAGCAGCTGAAGAAAATACATTAAGAAAAACATTTGTTTAAAACCATTTGCTATCTTATTTCTCTCAATATTTGATCATGTGTTGTAAGGTGTACAGTTTTTTTTCCTCCTGCCGCCACTCTTGTCCCATCGCCGCGCCAGCCCCAATTAACACACAGAGACTCTGTATTTGATACAATGCTTTTGGCCCGGTTACTTGTTTCTTATCGGCTAGCTCTGTCTTAATTATTAACCCACTTCTATGTATTTCCACGTGGTCTTACCGAGAGCGGAGGAATGGCGGTTCTGTTCTCTCCAGGCTCTCCATCCTGACTCCTCCTTACTACTTCCTCTTCCTCCTTGTCTCCCAGTCCCTCCTATCTTCCTTTCCTATTGGCCAACAGTGCTTTATTATTAACCAGTATGAGAAACATATATACATAATGGCATCTTCCATCATCGTGTACTCTCCAAAATGATGAAGATCCCATTAAGTTCACTATTTGTATAAATTCCTTAGCCTTCCGAAAACAAAATAATGTAGCAAATTGAGAACAACGGGAAAAACATTCTAGTCAGTTAAAACAAATGATATCAAGTGAAGTTTCTTACTTCTTAAAGTTATCTTTGGTAATATCTTATTTTTCTTTTGAGAAGAAAATATTTTGTAGTGAATAACTTAATTGTGACTAACTTAATTGGTCTTTATGAATTGCTTATATTATAGAACAATTGCTATTGTGAGTATATTATAATAATTAATCAAATATATAGCAGAAAACTTACTGTATGAAGTACATGTATCAGTAATTAACTGAGTCATCAATAATGTATCAGTATCACATTAAGAAATAAAAGCACTTCTATTGGTGTCATTTGATTAAAAGAGTAAATACAAATTCAAATTCTCTACTTCCTATTCCTTGTGCTTTTGCCCTGTTTTATAACTCTGAACCCATGCCTCTTTGAAAGCTGTCTTGTCAATCTATTTGTCCAGGTCTGTGTGTGTCTAAACCTGTGTATCTATGTGTGAGTGGTGTCTACAATTAACAAAGGGCTTTGCTGTTTATCTACAGAATGGCATAGACAGCATCATATGAGAAAGAAATGAGACACTTATTTGAAAACATTAATGGAGTCTTCCTAAGAATTAAGTTACCAGCTTCAAATGCACCAAGAAAACTAATATCACTGTTTACCATCCAGTATACATAAGTGAATGCTTTCAAACTTTACAGCAAATTTTAGGGTTTTATATTTTCAACTTCCAGCAAGGATACAAATAAAGGAGCATAAAAGACTACATAATTTATGATTACAAACACACACATTAGTTTAGGTGCCAAAGTTAATTGTATGGGAAATACAAGATAAGTAAGGTTGGCTATTTTTTTGCTCTTAAAGACAGGTTAAAGTTTGAAAACACAGTGGGTCAAAGGTGTGTTATTAACTTTGGCTGTGATAATCCAGCAATACTCTCTTGGAATATAAGATATTTTCAGAGTATTACTCTGTTACAACTTATGAATAAAGCAACTTTTCATGGAAATTAAGACCTATGAAATTTAAGACTGAGATGATACATGAGCTAGGGAAGATCTTGCTATATTGTAACATGGTAGAACAGGCAGCAGATATCTTTTGAATGTTCAGACATAAACAAGAAAAACATCCATGACAGATTAATTCTCATGATCTAATCACTTCTCCCAAATCCCACCTCTAATATCTGACATGATATTAGGGGTTAAGAAGGCCACAAACATCTATCATAGAAAGAATATTTTAGAACAGTAAGAAAACAGTAAGTATGACCTGAAGCATTCTCCCATAAATGGCTGCATGAATACGACCAGACAATAGCAATTTTACTAGCACGGAAGACACCTAGACAAATTACTAACTGCTAGGAAAAAAAGTAAAAAAGGGGGATTTACCCCCTTACTGGCTGTCCAACTCAATGTAATGTACACAACAAAAATGGACTCAGCAGATTATATTCATATACTTGTATATACATTTATACACACTCACACAAAATATAGTATGTTATTTTATATATTGCTATGTGTATGAGTCCATAACTTCAGATTATAGCTAATTATTAGTTTAGATTCTAAAAGTTAATTATATGAGCAATCCAAGGCAACTAAAGCTTGCTGTTACATGTGCTTTTAAAGGCAAGTTAATAAATTACTTTTTTACATATAAAACCATAATAAAGAAAAAGAGGCTATCAACTTGAGAAGAGGGGGATGGCAGGTTAGAGGGAGTACACCTGAGAGGAGCTAAAGGGAAGAAAGGGAGAGAAAAAAGTGATACAATTCCATTTCAGTTAAAGACATATTTGAAAGACTATCCTAAAAAAAGATAATGTATAAAGCATATAAAATTTGGCATGAATAGTTGAATACAACAGGTATTAGATATAGTAGTGTCAATGATTTCTCTATTCTTTTATGATATTGTCACTGACTCCATGATTTCTATTGGAGTACAAGTATATTATATACCATATGGTGGTTAACAATGACACTGAATGTTAAGCCATTCTAAGTTTACATGAGAACTTCAAATCTAATAACAGAATAGGTGATACCTTTATGCTAGAATCACAAGTGTTGATCTTACAGTAGAATTTGAAGAATCGTGATTAAAAATGCCTGTGTAATGAAGAAATTATTAAGAACAAATTTAGTGAAGGCCTCACTTTCCCTTGGGGACAAAAGATGGATGGGATGATGGGTTGGTTTGGGGCACAGGAGGATAGGAGGTAGAGGGAACTGGGATTGGTATGTAAAAGATTATTTTTTTATTTAAATAAAAATTATTTTTAAAAACAATGAAGTGACTGTACCTTTTTTGGGATTTTGTCTGGATCTCCTGTTCAGTTCCATGGATATATGTCTCTTTTTGCATCTGTATTAAACATGTTTTGGTACTATGGTTTAAAATCAGGTATGTTGATAGCTCCTACCTTATCCTTTTCTCCTTTTTGATTATTGTTTTTCTAGTTCTGTAAAACATGTCACTGGTATTACAATGAATCTATAGATAGCTTTTGGCAAAGAAGTCATTTTACAATATTGATTCTTTAAATTCATGAGCATTGCACTCACAGTGTCTTTAATTTTCCCTTGACCATTTAAATGTTTTTGGTATATAGGTTTTTCACTTCCTTGGTTAGTTTTCTTCAAAGATATACATGCATGGGTTTATTCTATGGAAACTGTGAATGGGATTGTTTTCAGTATCCTAGTAGAGAGGTATTTGCTTACCTACATTTATTTCAGCTCTATTTACAATAGCTAGAAAATAAAATCAGGCTAAATGTCTTACCAGCTGATGAACTGATAATCAAAATGTACTATATATAGAATCAAGGGGATTCATTTCAGTTAAAAGGAAGAACTTGCAAAAATTAGTGATTTAACCAAACTCAAATACTGCTTGTTTTCACTCATATGGATATCCCAGCTTTAGATCCTTATAATTGTACACTTAACTTTGGGAAGTGAAGAAACTCAAATAATAGAAGGAGCTCCATAAGAGGAAAAAATTGCTTTACAATAGAGGGAACAAAGATGACAAAAAAGGGGAATGGAAGATAATAAGGTCAGGGATATAAGGAAAATGAAGGGGTTTAAGGGAAGGTTAAACTAAAACTGGATAAAAAAATTACATAAAGCAACTTCTACTTAAAACTGAATAATTGTGAAGTTATTATACAAAGAAACTAAAACTGGAGTTAGGGGCCATAATTATATATTTTAGTAATAAACCTGAGTTTGGTAGTAAACTGACTGTAGAAAAAGGGGAAGGGTTGAGTGTGAACAAGAAGCATCACTTACATTTGATAACTGAAAAAAAAAAATGGATTCTGAGTTGATGGTTTTATATGCTACTGACTCAGACTTTTTACAATTAAATGTTACAACCAATGCATTAAGAAAGAATGAAGAGTAAACCTGAGAAATAAAATAAGTTGTTGAAGTTACCAGATTTATAATTCAAAAGGAACCACATAAATAAGAATGAAGTCATTGTGAGCTCACTAAAACTGTTCTAAAGAGAAAGAAAATGGGGTCATCTTATTTGACACTTACTAGGAAATTTCAACTATGAAGGCGTTATACAGACAATACATATCAAGAATGAAAGAGAAAAAGTGAATACAGGGAAGTGTTAAGTTCAGAGACAAAGTTTGTTGATTCCCACAATTGTAATGATTTCCAACACATATTTCAAGAAGTACAAGTCAGATACAGTTTCAAAACACATTTATTTTTAACAAAAGAAAATTAAAAGCGAACAACTAGAATAAGTTTGCATTATTCTATTTTTTTCCTTAAGAAGTCATTTCAACATACAATGTTTTCTCACAATGTGAACCAAAGAGGAAAAGGTAAGAGATAAAATAAGACTTATTTTAATAAGTAGTACATAATCTGGGGATTACATAGAGGGTGGTGAAGGTTTTAAAAATAAAGTTTAATAAAGTATAACATTCTCAAATTTTATTTTCCTCTTTCCAGATTAACCCAGGATACTACTTTTTCATTCCTAGTCCCAGGAATACTGCTGACAGAATTTTTGAAAATGTTCACAGGGCATAGTTCTTAGGAACTGAGCTATAAATGAACTGGGAATAAGGATAAAATAATTTGTGGAAAAGTTCTAAATAAGAAATAAATACTTTTTTTTGAGGTACTGAAAGAAGTCAGGGGGGAAAATGTACAAAGCGATTGAAATGGAGGGAGAATAGGGGAGTAATAGAAAGAAAAGGGAGAAAGGAGATGGAAAAAACATGGAAAAGTGAGAACTAAGGAAAGAATGAGGGAAAATCAAATTTTTCCTACTGTTATAATTCTTGCTGATGAAAATAAGATAGGTGTAGCAAAGGTGTTAAGGGAGAAAAAGAAGAAGAGGAGGAGGAGGTGGAAGAAGAGTTTGTATCCTGGTGTACATTACTCTTATGACCTTTTAATATATGTGCATGTTTTGTAGGGTTTGTCAAGAGTGTATTTTCCCCACATGCTACATCTTGAAACTGTTTTTCCTTAGGCTTAATCCTTGAACTTCTGGCTCTTTTTGATTCTAGCTCTTTTTGAGTAAGATACTCCCCCTTTCTACTCAGATTCACCTTTTGCCTCAAACGTCGATGACTTCCTTGTGTCTGTTCCTTTGATGGATTCCCTGGACTCTCAGGCTTCTCAAGCTATAATACACACAACAAGCAAAAATAAGTTGTATATAGTTTATTTTTTGTACTGATAGAAAGAATTGTCCATGATCTATCTCCTTACTTTTAGAAGTGAATGAATCCGCTCTAGATTGGGACTCTGCCCAGCTTGCAGCAGCTGCCAAATGCTGTGGTTCTCATCTAAGGTCACTTCAAGTAGATCTCCTTCCATCATAAGCTCCTCTAGAGGGGCCCGGGTGGCTTCAGGCAGTTCCAATACAGGACCAGTTAACTGTGATAATAGTGACGGCAGCTGTTCCTCATCTGCAGGGTTTGTGGACAATTCTTTTAGAATCTGACCTTGATCTTTATCCCCTTACCATGAAAAAAGGTGTTATGTACTCAGTAGTCTAACAACACCTAGACCTACCTCCTTTATATGAACCTTCCTTTGGAAGAGTCTTCTCAAGACTTATCAGTCTATCTTCATTTAGTACCACCTCCTCTTCCTGAGGAGAGTAGGAATGGATTACTTTAAATTGAAAAATAAGGATTTGGAAAAAAAAATCAAATTTTCTCCACTTGCTATACAAAGCATATAAGACAGTGGATCTCAACCTTTCAAATGCCATGACCCTTTAATACAGTTCCTTATGTTGTGGTGATCCCCAACCATAAAATTATTTCATTGCTATTTCATAACTAATTTTGCTATTGTTACAAATCATAATGTAAATATCTGATATTCAGGATATCTGATAAGTGAAGACTCACAGGTTGAGAACTATGCTAACTATGAGAATCATTTAAGAACCCAGAATGATGTAGAACAAGTGAGGGGGGGCTGACACTGCTAAAGATGAACTTTTTTTTTTTGTTTTTTGGGGTTTTTTTGTTTTTTTTTTTTAATTAATTTTTTTATTTTATATAACCAAGTCCATTTAAATGAAAACAAACATTTATAGACAATATAAAGATGAACTTTTTAAGGAGGGTTCAAGACTAGAATACAGAAATTTGAAAGTTAAAAAGTTAGTTAGACAGCTTACCTTAAGGATATCCTTGCCACTACCCTTTCTGAGAGAGTCAGAGGCAAGGTCTGAAGGACAGGTCGGGGTCTTTTCATGTTTCAATTCATTCTGCAGCTGTTGGCGGAATGTGGCCAGCTGATCCAATAAGGCAGTCACATCCTCAGAAGCTAGGGCCTGTCTGGCACGGCCTTGCCAACCAATAGCCCTCTCTGTGAGGCACTGCAGGGCCTCACCCTCAGGCAGTCTCACAGGCAGTCTTTGTAGTCCTACTAACAATGACAGGATGGTCTCTAGGCGTGGACGCCTTGAGCGCATGCACAGTGGGCACAGGAATTTAGTGTCCCATTCCCACCAAGCTAGCAGGTGAGATGAGGTAGGACTGGCCCTTAGGGAGCTGAGCAAGTGTGGTACCGTCACACATTGTCCATGGAACCAGTCATGACAGAGGTCACATCGCAGAGCTTCCATCCCTGTATGGACCTGCCCACATACACAGATGGAGGTTGCAGAGGCAATGGTTGATGAGGACATGGGACTGGGCTTGGCTGAGTTGATGTGACGTAACTGCAAGATACCTTCCTTTTCTTTTTCTTCCCCTTCCTTGAAGGCCATGATCTATTGAACCCAGGATAGGGTGGAAGCTGTTGAGCACTTCATGCCATTTCTGGATTAGACCCTTTACCATACTCCCAAATTAAAGTAATAGGGCTTGGTGATCTGCTTATTGGCAAAGAATTCATACAATGTATCAATTCTTTCTTCTTTCTTTTTATACCCCCTGGTTTTTCAACACAGTGCTTCTCTGTTGCTTTGGAGCCTGTCCTGGCTCTTCTCTGACTAGGCTGGCCTTGAACTCACAGTGTTCACAGTGAACACACCACCACCCTGCTCAATATATCATTTCTAGTCTTACCTTCTTTTCAGGGAGATACCCACAAACTAAATTTCCTGCTGTGTGTCAATCTGCTTACCACAGATCCTGGGTCCCTGAGGTCCTGTGCAGACAGCCCCAGCAATTCTGTGTCATATTTGTATAACCCCATCTCCTTTTCCATCCACCGATTACGCTTGGTGCTGACTGATCCAGCATCTGCACATGGGCAGAGAACCTATTAACAGACAGAAGGAAGGAGGATTACCATCCTTCATCTCCCAGCGATGTTCGGAAAATTCAGGATCTTTTACGAGCTCTTTCACAATAGGGTCAGGCACCTGTGGTACAATATGGTAAATCTTACCTCCAACAGTGTGTAGCAAGAATTCTTCTTGAGAAAAGTCTTAGAAGCTTTCTCTTTCCAAGAGTGTGCTGTAAGCACCTGATTCTCCAGATGTCTCAGTTCTTCTAGCTCCACAGGTAAATCCCGACCCACAGCTACTAAGCCCTCCAAGTCATCCAAACAGGGGTAATGATCACCATTCTTTAAGATAGGCACAATTAAATTATGTCAAGTGTTATGTTTAGATTTGTTGAGTAAGGCTGTATATATTATATTGTATAATCATAATACAGATGAGATACAGATTGCAAACTAATTTTTATAAAATTATTCCCTTTGGTGGCTCAGAATCAAAAACTCAATAAGCTGTCTAATGACTTGCTTCTTCACCTGTGTTTTGGCCAATTCTTTGTGGGTTTGTCTCTTCCCTTCTTGTAATCCTGATAACCTTAACTTCCTCAATTATCAATTTTTCCCACAACCCCAACTATGTGGAAAATTGAAATGTATTGGTTTCTCTTCTACTTGCAGGATTGAGTAGCAAAGTAAGAAACATGATCCTCACTTGAATCTCCTTCACATCAGCAATCCAAGCCTGTGCCTTAGTCAGAGCGTCCTTGAGAGACTGGATATTAGGCAGATGGACAGGAATATTTTCTGCCTCACGTATTATAACTTCCAGAGTGGCTGGAGTATGTTTCTCCCTAAAAATATTTGGGAAAAAGAAATTTGCACTTAATATTATACTTGTTTGTGTATACTGTTTTGTCCTCATTTTCCTTGCTATCTAAGCAGTAAAAATTTTGATAAATCAAGTGAACAATAATACTCAGTAAGGACACAGCAGTCACATTACATTTTTATTACATTAATGATGTTGATAATCTGAGAACAAACTGAGCAGTTTTTGGTTTAAATACTTTAAGATTTCTCCTAGGCTCATGACCTGTCTAACTTCAGGTATTTGGCTACTTTAGTATGGTCATGTATGGGTTTCACCTCATGAGTGTGCTTTAAATCAAAGCAAAACATGGTTGGTTACTCCTATTACATTTGTGCCACTTATGCACCACTACTTGCAAGCAGGTTGGTAGCTGAGAGGTACTGATCACCACTCTCCTCAAGTAGAGTGAAAAATACCTACCAGCACAAGAATACAATTGGTACTGGGTAAAGTTTCTGGTTGTGCCCCTGATCAATTGTAACAGCCAGAGATAGTGGATGGCTCCTAGGGAAGTGTCTTATTCACACAAATGGACTGGTATACATATACAGTAAACAACTGACATGAACAGATTCAAACCAGACAAAATTCCAGTGCTTACTCAAGAAATAAATGTAAATAACCACCTTTAACCAGAAGGCTACTTTCAACTGATAAAATGCAGGGAGAAGGAGGATTAATTGTGTTCAATTAAGTGTAGTTGGATGTAGTGGCCATATTCCAATCCAGGCCCTATATTCAAGTGTAGTTGCCTAACACAAAATGGACTTCATGTTTATATGAGTATGTATTTTGCTTATAATCTTATTCTTATTTCAAGTTTGATTTTTGTTGTCCTTTTGGTTTTCATTTTCTTTTTCAGAAAGGGAAAGAGAAAATATAAAGTTGGGTGTGAAAGGAAGTAGAGAGGGCTGAGACAGAGGAAGAATACAATCAAAATATAGTAAATAAAAAACCTTAAATACAAATTAAAAAATATCCTGAAAAACTGTCATGTCATGGCTAACCCAGTATGTTTTATCTTCTGGCCTAATGGCCAGAATGATGGATGAAAAATTATATTCTGAACTACTCCCAGGTAGTTCAAGTCTATAAGGAGAATACAAATATGAAGACATTATTTCTTACCTGACCTCCAAGCAGAAGTGGGCCTTTTCCTCCCAACTCTCTGCAATAGTCAGCAGTTCTTGTAACTCAGCTCGAGCTTTGTTCACAGAAGGGCTAGAGGGTACCTTGGCTCCTGTAACTAAAAGCTTCTTCATGATGACTAGAGAAAGCCTCTGGGATGAGGAAGACAAGGCTTGCTTCACTTGATTTAGCCATTGTGCCTGTTCCACCATTTCCTGAAGTTGGCGAGCTTCAGGCACTTCCACACTAAGCTGTTGGCCTTTTTCCAAAAGGGATTGAAGTAGTTCTAAGTTATAAGGCAGTGAAGTTAGAGCCTCATGGACCTCAATCTGGTATGCCTCCACCTGTTGCATAATATCCTACAAAAAGTTAGAATAAAACAAAACAAAACAAACAAACAAAAAAAACAAGATTTTAATCTATCTAAACACAATACCTAATTTATCCCCACCCTCAATATTTTTTTGCTTCAGAGTATCCCATTTTCTTTTTAACTATTATAATGTCCCAAGTTTCATTTAGTGACCTGAAAATCACATTTAATTTTCAAACTGGACTTAATACAATCTTATCACTGGGAAAAGCTCCTTGAAACTGAAAACTGAGAAAGGAAAAACTTGTAATAGTTTTATTTTCCAACAACAACAGCCACTCTTTCATGTGCTGGCAGTTTTAATTATCTGCTAAAATACCTTCTTTAATAATCTTAGGAAATACCTGCTTGTAGTATCAGAAGAACAACATGTTATATCCTTAGGATAACTGGAATGAATCTGGTTTATAAGAGGTTATTTAGGTAGGATTCATTGGCCTTTCCATTAGGAAACAATCACTGTTGGACTACTCACACCACAGCTTACAGTGACACTCATAAATCCTTTAGAGAGTCCTGTTGTGTTCCTGTAGACAGCCCTAATACAGACTCTGTGTTGAAGCTTAATCCCTTCTTTCATCAAATTCTTGCTGAGTGTAACTAAAATAAATTACACACATACACTACACACACAACGGTATGGGTGGCTGTTTAGAATAATCATGTTCTTATCACTCCTTATCACTCCCTCATGTAACTTGTGTTAACAATAATTCCCTATTTCAGGCCCCTCTTCACCTTAACTTCATCAATCTGATGCATGGCACAGGGCAGAGCATCCATCTGTTTGAGAAGAACCTGTAGCTCAGTCAAGGTGAGTTGTGGGACTTCTAACCTGTAGAAGGAGGTTGTATTTAGTAAACCTGGTAATGTCTTACTGTAAGAACTATAAGAATTTGAACTCTATCATTCATATTACACTTTCAAAAGTTCATCTTCTAAAATTCAGAAACACACAGGGAAAAAGGTGGGAACAGACACATTTTACATGTAACACAAACTCTTTGCAGAAACCACGTAATAAAGATTTAAAAATAGTTAAGATACATGAAACACGGGAGGGTTTAAAAGCAACATCAAATGACTTAGCACACACATTATGGACATAAAAAAGAAAAGTACAATGCCAAAGGCACAGAATATATTTTCAATAAAATCATGGAAGTTTTCCAATCCTTGAGGGAGACACTATCCATATACAAAAGGACTACAGAATCCCCAATAAGACAAAAAATAAACTCCACTGACACTTTATCATTAAAATACTAAAACCAAGAATAGCAGAAAAAGAGTCTAGATCTAGCTTGGGTCCCACAGCCAGTGTCCTGGTCTAATCTGGCCACTCACATCTGTGCTCCAACCAACCTCTAAGCTTCTGCAGGGTGCCACACTTTGTAGCCTATTCTAGTCTGACTCCCCTGCCTGCACCTCAGCAACCATCAGCCAAGCTTCTGCCAGGACCTACCTGTCCTGCAACCACAGGTCCCTTCTGGCCTGTTTCCAATACCTCAATAGGTATGCAGACTTTCTACATTCTCCCTTAGGATCTAGCCTAATGAGAACCCCTGACTGCCCCATAGCTACCTTTCCTACAACCCAGCACAATGCCAGCCTGGTATGGCCTTCCCTACAAAGCAGCATTATTGTTGCAACAAGATTCCCCCTATCTATCCCCTAACCTGCAGACTCTCTCAGAATATATCCAAAATCTACCAAAACAGATATACCCCACACTCCAGGCTTGGAACAGGAAGCACATCCTGCACAACAGTTCAGACTCCTCAGTCTACCCAATTTCATCCCCAGCCCCAAGCCATTTCCAACCTGTAAACACAACTCTATCCCAGAACTTTTCTTCTTCTCCATGCTGTTTTTATCCATAAAAACTTAGAATCTAACTGATGGAGGCCACATGCTATGATCAAATTGTAAGAATATTAGCCACATTAAAGATTGGGTTAAGCTCAAAAGAACAACCATAAACCTCCTCAAAGAATTCGAGGAAGAAGTTGTAGATGACACAAAGAAACAACTCAACTAAATCAAGGAGGAAATGATTAAGGAGATTAACTAACTGAAAGGCTGATTGAAATGAAGATAGAATTCAACCAGGAGATGGAAATACTGTACAGGACACAGGCTAAAACAAAGACCTAACTAGAAAATAAAAAGTAAAATAAACTATATTCCAGAAAAAGCATAAAGTATTCCAAAATTAAACCAAGATGAAATACTTTTAATTAACCCATAGTCAAAACTAAGACTGGTTTCCCAACTAAAAAGAAGCCCAATACCAGTTAATTTACCACAAAATTTACCCCAACTTTAAAGAACTAACACCAAAAATACTCAGATTATTCCTTCTAATAAAAAAAGGAAGAAATCCTTTAAATTTTTTTTTTTTTTTAAATAAAGCCATTGTTACCCAGACATCAAAACTGGATACACACAAAACAAAAGGAAAATTTCAGGTTGATCTATCTGATGAAAAAAGATGTGAAATTCTAAATGAAAATATTGACCAACTTAATTAAACTCATGTCAAATAGATCATTCTCAAGGCCAAGCTCATTTTAATGTAGGGATTCATCGCACATACGTCAATCAATATTATACATCATGTAAAGTTAAAGATCAATACATGATCAACTCATTAAAGGGAGAAAATGCCTGACAAAGACTGATGGGAGATGTCATTCTGTAAATATGTTTCTCATACTGGTTAATGAATAAAGCACTGTTGGCCAACAGGAAAGGAAGATAGGAGGAACTAGGAGACAAGGAGGAAAGAGGAAGTAGTAAGGAGGAGTCAAGATGGAGAGTGTGGAGAGAACAGAACCACCGGCCCCTGCTCTCCGGTAAGACCACGTGGAAATACATAGAAATGGGTTAATAATTATGGCAGAGCTAGCCGATAAGAAACTAGTACCTGGCCAATAGCACTGTATCAAATACAGAGTCTCTGTGCATTATTTGGGGCTGGCGCAGCGGCGGGACAAGACTGGCGGCGGGCGGAAAAACGGTACTTCTTACAAATGACGCCCACGTGGGTCAGATGGATTCAGTGGGGAATTCTACCAGAAATTCAAAGAAGAGCTAATACCAATACTCCTCAAAGTGTTCCACACAGTAGAAGCAGAAGGGTCACTGCCAAACTCTTTGTACAAGGCTACAATTACCTTAGTACCCAAACCACACAAAGACATAACTAAGAAAAAAAAAATATAGACCAATATACTGGTAAATTGAATCCAAGAACACATCAGAAAAGCCATCCACCATGACCAAATAGGCTTCATCCTAGAGATTCAAGGATGGTTCAACACAAGAAAATCCACCACATAAACACACTGGAAAAGGAAGATCACATAATCAGCTCACTTGATGCTGCTGAAATAGCCTTTGACAAAATCCAACACCCCTTCATGATAGAGGTCTTGGAGAGATGGGGGTAACAGGAACATACCTAAACGTAATAAAGGCAAAATACAGCAAGCCAACAGCCAACAGCCAATACCAAACTAAATGGAGAGAAACTCAATATGATTCCTCTCAAATCAGGAACAAGACAAGGCTGTCCACTCTCTCCATATCTCTTCAATATTGTATTGTAAGTTCTAAGCTACAGCAGTAAGACTTCTAAAGGAGATGAAGGGGATACAAATTGGAAAGGAAGAAGTCAAACTTTCACTATTTGTGGATGAAATGATAGTTTATATAAGTAAACCCAAAAATTCAGACAGGGGACTCCTACAGCTAATAAACATCTTCAATAAAGTGGCAAGATATAAGATTAAAAAAATCAGTAGCCCTCTCATATATACAGGCTGAGAAAGAAATCAAAGAAACATTACTCTTCATAACAGAGTTATCCCAAGATTTTTTCTATTTGTTTGTTTGTCACTGTTATGAAAGACCTGTAGACCTGTATGACTCAGGATAGACAAAATAACCCTGTACAATAAAGGAACTTCCAGAGGTATCATCATCCTTGATTTTAAGCTCTATTATAGAACGATGGCCAAAATCAAAAACACCAATAACAGTTTATGCAGAAGAAGATGTGGAGAAAGGGAAACACTCCTGGAGGGAATGCAAACTTGTGTGGCCACTTTGGAAATCAGTATGGTAGTATCTCAGGAAAATGGAAGTCAGTCTACCTCAAGATCCAGCAATTCCACTCTTAGGCATGTATCCAAAGGACTCACATTCATACCACAAGGTCAGCGGTACAATTACGTTCATAGCAGCATTACTTATAATGGGCCATAACCTGGGAGCAACCTATATGTCCCTCAACTGAAGAATGGATAAAGAAATGTGGTACATTTACATAATGAAGTACTACTCGGTAGGGAAAAAAGATCTTGAAATTTGCAGGCAAATGGATAGAGCTAGAAGAAACCATCCTGAGTGAGGTAACCCAGTCACAGAAAAACAAACATGGAATGTACTCATTCATAAGTGGATTTTAAACATATAGCAAAGGATCACTAGTCTTCAGTCCACATCCCCAGAGAAGCTAGGAAACAAGGGGAAACCTAAGGAAAACATACGTGGACCTCTGGCGAAAGGGAAAAGGACAAGGCCTCCTGAGCAAATTGGGGCCATGGGTGGGTAGGGGGAAATGAGAAAGGGTGGGTCGGGGGGGGGGGGAGAAGAACATCAGAGATCAGAAAGGTAGAGTTGGGATAGCAGAGGAAGAAAGCAAGGAAGGAGGGAGCCATTGTAGGTTTAAGGAAAACTCTGGCACTAGGGAAATGTCCAGGGATCCACAAAGGTAACCCCAACTAAGAATCTAAGCAATAGTGGAGAGGCTATCTTAAATGCCCTTTCCCTATAATGAGATTGATGACTACCTTATATGACATCATAGAGCCTTCATCTGGTAGCTGATGGAAGCAGAAACAGACACCTACAGCTAAACACTGAACCGAAATCCTGGAATCAAACTGCAGAGAGGGAGGAGGGATGAGCAAACGGGTCAAATCAGGCTGGAGAAACCCACAGAGATAGCTGACCTGAACAAGGGGGAACTTATGGACTCCACACTGATAGCTGGGGAACCAGCTTAAGACTTAACCAGGTCCCATTAATGTGGGTGTTAGTTATGGGGCCTCTGTCAGTGGAACCAGTATTTATCCCCAGTGCAGGATTTGACTTTGGGAGCACATTCCCTCTAGAGAGATACTCTCTTATGCCTAGATACGCAGGCGAGGGCCTACGTCCTGCTCCAAATGATGTGACAGAGTTTAATAATTCCTCTATGATGTGCCTCACTCTGCCATGGAAGTGGATGGGGGGTGAGATGACAGGATTGTAGGGGGTTTAGGAGGATAGGAGGTAGAGGGAACTGGGATTGGTATGACAATAAGATTGTTTTTAATTTAAAAGAAATTAATTAATAAATGGAAATGTTAATAGCTGAACACAGTCTTTAATTCATTATGCACAGAAGAGGGAGTTAGTTCAAAGGACTCCCTTCTCGGAGGGACTGTGGGAGATTAATACTTCATGGTTTTTGTTTTGAGCTATGTTGTCACTGATATTCTTGTTAATAAAACCACACTTAAAAGCAATTATAATTGAAGTAAATGGTCCCCACACTGAAAACAAAGTAGTAGGAGAGGGACTGGGAGAAAAGGACTTGAAGAAAGAGTGTAACAGGGGTAAAATGACCAAAAATTTGTTACATGTATAAAACTAGCAAAGCCTTAAAAAGAAAAAAAGAAAGAGGAAGAAAGGAAGGAAGGAAGGGAGGGAGGGAGGAAGGAAGAAAAGGAAGGAAAGAAAGGAAGAAAAGGAAACAAAGAAAAGCTAGGAATGGTGGCACATACTAATAATTTCAGGGAAGGACATGTTAATCCCTGGAATCAGCTCCTCTAAATCTAGAATACTTAGAGAATTCCAGACTAATAGGAGAAAGTATCTTTTATTCAAAACAACAACAAAAACAAAACAAAACAAAATAAAAACAACACAAATGGCCACTTCCTGAGGAATAATTCAGGTTGTCCTCTGGCCTCCACATGTGTTCACCTTTTTACTTATATATACATAAATCCATATTCTGCCTGAGTGATCCTACATTCAAAACAGCTGGACAAAGCAGCCTTACAGACTACAGCCAGGATTTCTGCATCTTCTTAGAATCCCCCATGACTGTGCCCCTTATCAGCAGGAAGTAGTTTGGAAAGAACGACGTCCAAATGCCCAAGTATTGTCTATAAATGTTTGTTTTCATTTAAATGGACTTGATTATATATAAAAAAAAAGACTCGGGCAAAAATGAATTGTATAGGAATTCTGATCTTTAAAATTTTGTAAGATGTACTTACATATAGGATATCTTTTGTTTTCACTAACATATATAGAAATGTTTTGAAATATAATTGAAAATGTTCACTTCAATGATTTGTAGTTCAGATCATACTATTTTCTATTATGTTCTAATTCTTATTATATATGCCCAATACTGAGTTTCTGCTTTCTAAAATAAAAACTCTATAATTTGCATGTAACTCTGAGTGAGTGTTTATGCCATCTGTGTGGGTATAGGAATCCACACATTATGTCATATCTCCTGGAGTTGGATGAGACCTGAACCAAGATGATACCTGACCTCTGAAAAAGTTAGGAAGCTCTCTTAAAGATAGGTCATCACTTTAGAACACCCTCTTAACTAAGACTAAGTTTTGAATTTCAATTGGATATATACGACATACAAATTTTTGCTACAAGAATTCTATTTTAGCTGATATATTTTTGTTATTAATATTCATATAGTCACCTATTTTTGTCAGCTTTCCTTTTGTTTCATTCTTGAACCTCATGACTGTCCAAAGCCTAGCACTTGCTCAGCAAGTATTCTACCACTAAATCTGTAATTGCTTTTGTTTGCTTTTCTAACATACCTGTCCTCTGAGTAACCAAGTCCTATAACTTGAGAAATACAAGCCTCTGCCTCACTTATGCAGTTTTTCAGTCGCTGAAGCAGTTCAGTATTAGGGAATCGTCTCTCACAAGCCTCAGATTCCAATGCCCTTAGCTCTTCAAAACCTGGAGAAAAAAAAAAAAAAAAAAAAAAAAAAAAAAAAAAAAAGAGTCCAAGTAGCAAGACAGTTTTATAGGAAGACAGACAAGAATTCTTTAGGATGCTGATGGAAGCAATAAATGTTGCTTAAAGGTTCTTCAATATCTACTACTCACTGCATTTCCGTCCATCTTCCACCTCTAAGGCTGCTTGTACTTTGTTAGCCCAGTTGTCAAAAGACTCAGCCCTCATCTTTAGCTTTTGTAGCATAGCAGGCAGTTCATCCAATGTATACCTGTACCTGGAGAAAGACCAGGGAAATAATATGTAGACCAAATCTGTATTTCCTCTATTTCTTTCATATAGGACCCATACTCACCGTAAATATTGTCGGCTCCTTGAACACTTGCACAGATCATTGATGTGGGAAAGGCAGACAAGACTATCTGGGCAGTCATAACAGGCCAAGGCTGATAGGAAACACGTGGTCTTACACTTGATGCACTGACGCTCATCATCTGGGAGCAGCTCAAAGGCCTCTCGCTCAGCTTCCGTGATGCCCTGGGGGTGTTCAATCCACATACACTGTAAAACTAGGAGCAGGGTTGTGGACACCCCACCACAGCCAATACTGAGCCCTGCTGTGGACGTAAGCTTGTAAGGATAGCTGTAGAGAAATTGGAAGAAAAACACATAAACACATACAGTCTTTGCCTTTAAATTTCCAATAACATGAATTAAAGATAAGGCATAAAGTGCTTACGCAATGTTGGTCTGTGTCTCAACCATAGTATATTTGATGAGTCCTTAGCCCTGGTTTCTACCACCCACCTTCTCCAACAAGGCCTTTCGTAGACGTCGCTCCTCCTGCACCATAATGAACATCTCCTTGTGAACTGCCACTGCTAGATTCAGATCCAGTTTCTCTGGGAATGCAGCCATCTTGCAGATGAGCTCCTCATGGGAGAAGACACAATAGCGCCGAAGGCGGCGATAGTGTTCAATACACTGGCGTCCAGCAGGTAGCTGTAAGTGTGTCCAAAGATTGTGTATGGCTACCTGGAAACCAGGAAGTGTAGTTTCTCCACAATGACCCCTATTCACATTCTTTATACCTTTCTGCCTGCAGGCCCACCACATCATAGACTTACCCAATCAGCAGTGCAAAAATTCACTGCCTCAGCAAAGTTATATCCTTGGTTAAAGCCACTATGGTAAGCACGAGGGAAAGTAACAACGAATTCCCCTGCACATTGGTTTGTACGAACAACCTGAAAAATAGGGTAAAAATCAGATATATGTGAAAACTAATGATGGAAATTAACTTATAAATGCCATAACAGTAGGAATAACAGATTATTTTCAAATGTATGACTGAAGAACAAAACTGAGATTGTGAAGATTAAAACTGACATACTCAGAGTAAAGAACAAAGCAAAATTATATAGAATTCAAAGAAAGATAACACAGTATCAAGAAGACTCTTGACCAATAAATAAATAAATAAATAAATAAATAAATAAATAAACTTTTAATCTCTCATATCTCTTACTTTCACATTCTACTTGTACAAGTGGTAATGGCGAAAGCAATTAAAAACCACACTTAAATCACTTCTCAAAACAGATTATCTTAAAGACTCAATAGAAGAATCAGATTTTGTTTCAGAGAATCTGTTGTACTACTAGATGACCAAAGCTAATAAAAAACATTAAAAAAAATATTAGGTTAGTCAAACAAATAAAACAATGCTTTAATAATATATTATTATTAAAATACAAGTTAAAAGATGAATGGCATTATGGAGTCCACTTTTCACTACTATAAAAACTATGTAGAGTACACAAGTTTTGATCATCATTAAAAACAAAATCAAGTGTTACTGTAGATTTAAAAACATTAGGGATGTAAGTATTGCTAGCAGGAATGTGAAATGGTCATGAGGTTGCTGTAATGTGTTGGTTCCTCACTATATTAGAGAACTACTGTGTAACTGTGCAATACTACCTGAATACACAAACAATGTAAAAGAAACATTTTCAACAGATATTTGTTAACAAATTTTCAAAACATAATTATTCACCGCAGCCAAAAGTAAATTAATTAATTAAAATTCAAGTTAATTAAATTAAAAGTTCACTAACTTAGGAATATGCAAACAAAATATTAATCATAATATAGCAAAATACTATTTATCCATAAAAACAACAATATACTGATATATTCTTTAATAAGGATTGACTCTATTGAAGTCAAATGAAAAAGAATCTAGCTATCCACAAAGATCACCTACTTCAAGAAAATATTTTTAAAAAATAGTAAATGTATGGAGACTTAAATTTTATTTAGTAGCTTCTAATATTTCTAGCTTGCAGTGAGCTTCTTGCATATCTACTATTTAAATGGGTAAATTGTTCATTTGTTATTTCTTAAAATATCCTACCTCCCTTCCTCCTTTTATGTATACACTGTTACAATGGATGACAACCAATGTCTTCTAGAACTACAGGTCTTTTTGTTTGTTTTATGCCTTTACTTCTTAGACCAGCTTATTACAAAGATAACTACTGCCAATTCTTCTTATCATATAAGCTATTAAGTGTAATGAACATTTCACTTAACACAAATTTTATTTTATTAATTTTTATTTTTGGTATTTTTACTTTTCATATGTTACATAATGTCACTATGTTGCCCACAACGACCTCTATATTGTATTCTTTAGGATTCATGAAAGTTAGAATCATAAGCATAAGTTACATGCCTGACTTCACTAAGAATCTTTTGTGTGATGTGTATGTGTTAGGACTGTAAACATGTATACACAATTCAGTAGTTGAAAGTCACAGTATACTGAAAGACTAGTAACCAAATAAAGGTAGATGACTCCAATAGTATCAGAAAAATAAAATATGTCACAAGAAACAAAAATCAATAGGTTCTGATAGAATGTCTGATACATTAGATGAAATAGTTTTAACAGAAAAAACATTGTAAAATTTGACTCTACATAATTTTTAAACTTAAAAAAAAAAATCCAAGCATGGAAGTATAAGCTAAGTATGTATGGTAAAAATTTTATCATTGGTATTTAGGATTTTTTTCCCTTGTGAAATGGATAACATTAAGAAGAAAAAATGTAGCTAGGTGTTGTCACACACCTTTAATTCCAGGATTTGGGAGGCAGAGGCAGATAGATCTTTGTGAGTTTAAGGCCAGACTGGTCTACATAAAGTTCCAGGATAGCTAGGGCTACAGACAAATCCTATCTCAAAAAAAGAAAAAGAACAAAACAAAAAGGTAATTTCAGAAAATGTCAGAACAAGAAGGAAGCATTAAAAGTTCCAATTTGGTCTGTTCAGATGGAACAAACTAAGAAATAGTTATGCATTTGCATGAAGAAAAAAATAGAGCTAACAGAAATCTGAACTAGAAAAAGTCTAAAATATTTCAAAAGAGAGTACTTCGTTTTCCACAAAAATCTCTTGTAAATCAAGCTTACTTAAAATAACTAAATTCCCCAAGTCTACAGTGCAATTTCAAAATCCCATAATAAGGGTTATAGTTAAAATTTATGCTCAGTAATGTTACAACAAAACTGGTTCTAGACTATGCTGTTAAATAACAATCTATTCTTTCCTTTTTATAAGTTTATAAAAACAATGAAAGAGAACAAATTATGTGATAGTGTGCCAAATACTCAAAAAACTCAAACAATTTTGCTTTCTCTAAAACTGTTCCTTGGAATTTTATTTCCCCCGATCCTTAATTCCAGGTACTCACTGGCACTCCATGTGACATAAGAGTGTTTGGATTCATGAGAGTAACAAGCTGGTGTAGGAGGTCAGGTTGGCTGTCAAACAGCTCAGGTGTCAGTCTCTTCATAACCTCCTCCAACTGTTCTGCTGCTAGAGAAGGTACCCCATACCAGGTCTTCGGTTCTCCCCTGATCAGACAGATTAAATGTAGACATAAAATGCAGATGCAGTCTTGTATATAGGATGCCTTGCTATTGATCTCAGCCATTGCTGTCTCACTCACCAGTGCAGGTAGTTAATGGAGTAACTCCAATGATCCTCAATATGCCAACAAAATGCTGAAAAAACCATGCCCACATATAACCAGGGAACTTTCATGCCTGAGATGTCTGCATTGATGTGGCAAAGAACAGATTGATCCAGCACTGGCATCACATTCAGATTCCAACCACTGGTAGCATATTCCTGTTGGGTCAGAGAGTTATGTTGTAGGTATAAGATTGAACTAAGAGGTCACCCAGTAGATTCATGCCCCCCCCACTTTTGTCTTTTATTGGGTTTTGTGTTCTGTCTTTTAAAAAAGGTAAAAATGAGTCAGATCTACAGACAAAAATAACTGTGTTTTTAGAACATATATGCCTACCATAATTTGTGGTCAGTTAGGAGGTGTATATATTATTTCTAAGTGTAACTTTTCTTTTTCAGATGCAAGTGAAGGTTCATGTGAACCAGAAACCAGTAGAGTAATATTTTCGAAATGCAAATAAACCTTTTATCTCATTTGTCATCTACCTGTTATGTATTAGATAGTCTAACTGCACTTTAATAATCAATATATTAGTAACTAATTATCCTTTAATCTTAACAATGTAAAAATGATTATCTTATATGAACTACTAGTATATATACATATACATATATACATGTATATATGCATTTATATAGTATGTATATGTATATAAGTTTATGTATAGAGCAATTCCACTAAAATCAGCAACAAGATAGGATGTCTACTCTCTACCTACTCACTATATTACTTGAAGTTTTAGCTAGAGTTACTGAAAAAGTTCAAGGGGTATAAATTGTAAGCAAAGAGGTCAAAGTATCTTTATTTGCAATTTGCAGATGATATGACTGTATACATTAAAGACTAAAAATTTCATGAGGAAACTTATAATAAACATTGTCAATAAGTAGCTGTATACAAAATTAACAATAAAAACACTAACATCATAAAAAAAATCAGTGGCCTTCCTATATACAAGTAACAAACAGAAATAAATCAGAGAAACAGCACCTTTCACAATAGCCTCAAAAACCTTGGGGGTTACTCTAGCCAAAAAATTAGACTTGGACAGTAAATTTATAGACATTAAAGAAATCCAAGAAGACCCAACTTATGGCTCTGTAAAACAAATAGTGAAAAATGGCCATGCTACCAAAGACAATCTGCAAATAATATGTAATCTCCATCAATGTTTTAATGTAATTGTTCTCAGAAACTAAAAATAGTTCAATTTCAAATAAAAATACTCCCACCCTCCCATACTCAAGAAAACAAAGAAATAAGCAGGCAACAAAAGAAAAGGAAAGAAAGAGAAACCAACTGAGAGAGGTGAGACAATTCTGAATAATAAAAGAACTGCTGGAGATATCACTACTCCTAATCTCAAAATGTACTTCATGGTTGTTGACCTATAAAAAGATGTGTTGATCAACTGAGAGAAGTGAAGACCCAAATACAAGCCTACACACACCCAATTTTTGACAACGAAGTCAAAGATAGAGACTGGAGAAAATATACCAATTTCAATAAATGGTGCTGGTCAAATTTGGTTGCTTATGTAGAAGAATGCAACAAACAAACAACAACAACAAAAACTAAAACCTACATTTACCACCCTGAACAAAACCCAACTCCAGATGGGTCAAAGACCTCAGAATAAGGTCACATACCATTTAATCTGACAGAAAAGAAGGTGGGGGAACAACCTTGAGCTCACTGGCACAAGAAAGGACACCATTAGCATGGCCATTAAGACCAATGACTTATAAGTGAGAACTCAAGAAACTGAAAAACTTCTGCAGGACAAATGGCACCATCATTCTGACAAAGCAGCAGACTATCGAACTGTAAAAAAATGTTTTACCAACTTAACTCAAAAAACTGGACACTGAGCAAACAATCAAACTAGAAAATAGGGAACAGATCTAAATGGAAAATTCTCAAAAGAGGAAACTCAAGTGGCTCAGAAGCACATAAAGGAATGTTCAACATCCTTAGTCATTCAAGGGAACCACAAATCAAAATTACTCTGAGATTCCATCTATACCTGTTATGGCTATGATCAATGAAAGAAACGACAATAATGTGGAGTCACTGTGGGAATGCAAACTTGCACAGCTACTTTAGAAATCAGTGTGGCAATGCCTGGAGAAACTGGTAATTCATTGACCTCAAGATGGGCATATTCCCAAAGAATGCTTCATTCTACCACTTAACAATGTTAATTGCTATTCTATTCATAACAGCCAGAAATTGGAAACAACACAGATGTGTCTTAACAGAAGAATAAATAAAGAAAATGTGGTACATTTATACAATTACTTAGCTGTTAAGAAAATGTAAGTAGTGAGTTTCACAGCTAAGTGGAGGGAGCTATATAAGAATCATCCTGAATACAGTTATCCAGAGCTTAAAAGACAAATATTGACAAGGAAAGACTTCTTTATGTTGATGTTAGTTTTTCAAACTTTGATTTTCACACTATAATCTATAGTCATAGAGATTACATACATATTAAAGGATTGGGGGACAGGAAAGTGAAGAGTATCTCCCAGGAAAAAGAAAATATATTTTTATAGAGAGATAAAAAAGAATCTAGAATAGGCATATTATAAAGGGGAGGAGAGAAACAAGAAAGGGAATGAAGAGAAAATGAGGAGAGACAAGTAATACCAAGTTCCATGGAGGAATTATATTGAAACCTGATATTGTAGAAGTTTTCTAAAATTCACACATATATGAAAGGAGTCTAATAAGGGAGAAAATAACCTAACAACCAACTGAAATCACCAGCACCAGGATCTTATAAATCCACTAACCAAAGTAACCACAAGGAAACCCCAAACAATTCAGACTATAGCCAAGGCTACCTATGCTAATCTCTAGATGCAATCTTAAATTATGTAAGCTTTCAAGCTCTCAATGCACATTAACACCTGTGTATCATATGCTGAAAGCAACAATACAAAAGTTGAAAGAAACTTCCTAAAATCTACCATAAGGTTAAAAGCATCCATTTATAAATGATAAACAATGACATCTATGATCTGGATCAACTGGGAGCAGTTGGAGCCAGTGACTTTAGCCCTTTGAAGTACCCATTCTTTTTCATGTGATGCTCTGTGTTGGTCTGAAAGAAAATGTACCCCAAAGACAATGATACTATTAGGAGGTGTGTCCTTATTGGGGTAAGCATAATATTGTTGGAAGTGTGTCAGTGGGGAGGTGGGATTTGAGGTTTCCTATGCTCAAGCTACATTTAGTGTGGCACACAGCACACTTCCTGTTGCCTGCAGGTTAAGATATAGACTGTTCAGATCATTTTCCAGTATCATGTCTGCCTGTATGCCGCCATACTTCCCACCCACCATGATGATAATTGACGGACCTCTGAAACTGTATGTGAGCCACCACAATTAAATGTTTTCCTTCATAAGAGTTGTCATGGTTAAGGTGTCCCCACATAGCAATTGAAACCCTAACTAAGACATAGTCTCTTTGTCATAGGAGAGACAGAGAGTGAAGCCATTTGTTAGAGACAGGCACCATACATAGACACATACAGCTCATGTAATAGGCATACAAGGTTAGTCATACACCAGACAGACACAGAGAAACAGAAGCACAGGTAGTCTGCAGGCAGACACAGATTCAGACTCACACAACAGATAGCACAAGATGGAATAATGTGATACCAACACATTATTGGTGACCCAGACTTAAATACTAATGTATTATAATCGCAAAATGACCATAGCTATTAAATAAAATCTAAACACATTCTGTTATACCAACAGATAACTGTCTTACTCTGCCATGACCAGATAAATATCCTCTTGCAGTAAAGAGGAACTAATAACAAGACCCAAAACTGGAAAGAGTACAGATAGAAATTGTCTTTGATTATTGATTATTGGTCAGACCTTTTTTTTTTTTTTTTTCTTTTTGGAGGGCAGGTCAGGAGGAACAGGGATTCTTTGTAGTGGTGGAAGGTCCTAGAACTCACTCCATACCAGGCTGGCCTAGAACCCCAGAGAACTGCCTTCCTCTGCCTCACAAGTGCTAGATTAATGGGTTGTGCAAATTTAGAGTTAAATGAAATGTCTTCCTATAGCCCCTCTCTTTAGGGCTCAGAAAACTATGTGGAAGAGGTTGGGGAAAGATGGTTACAACTCAGAGGTAATGGATGACACTGATGCACATATGAATTCAGAGAGGAAGCAACATACATAGTGCCAACACATTTCAAGACAGATGGGGTTCCAATAGCAAGACAGAAATAGACACAGGTCAATTCCTTAGAAGAAGCCATCTGCAATGCATACTCTTGAGATCAAGGTAAAAATTAGTTTTCCCAATTAGAATTTCTCAAGGAGTCTAAAACACATTTTAGGATAGGCCCTAAGCCCAGGAACAGTTGGCCCACACAAAAAGAAAACAATGCTATTTTTGTAGACAACTTGTTTCACTCTGCTTTGTTTATATATTCTCTGTTAATTTGATGTTTGGATTATATATTCTGGTTTCTGTTTTTATATGAGGATGTGTATATTTATTTGTGTTTGTTTTTGTTTGTTATCGATAGAACAAATATGTAGATGGGTGTGTGGATTATGGGAAAGATCCAAGAGTTGTAGGAGATAAATATGATTAGAATAATTGTATGAAAAAGAATTTTTAAATGATTGGAAAGTGAAATGAGGAATGTACAAAAAAATTGTAGTAGACAAAAAAATGCATGTAAACAATGAGTAATTACAATAAATAAGATATTAGCTAAGATACTTTACAGTTAAAGATGAATAGTCAAGCTTCCCTCCAACCACCCTGCTCTTGAGCACTGGGCCAGAGTGAAGGTCCAACATCCCCTCCACCTTCCCGGAACTTCCTGGATCTGCTGCAAGCACACTGGACCCGCCTCTCTGTTGGGAGCCAGCCTTGAGTCACATCCTCTTGCAGAATTACTTATAACTTAAAACTCTAATTGAGCCTTATCTTGGTAAAACAGAAAACTGCTAAAAAAGCAGTCTGTTCCATTCAACCCAGGAACTGAGATGAACCAAGACACCAGGAACTGAGATAAGCAGACATTTAGGGTCTGATATTTTTGGCCTGGGAAAATACCAGAGCCCCAGAGTCAGCACAGCTACCCCTCCCCACTTCCTCCCCGCTTTGCTTT